CTAAAGAATATAAAACACACATTTATTAATAATAGCTTTCCAAACTATATAGTTGATGAACAAATAAGATGCTTTCTTAGAAATCACAATAATAAGCTAATTGTACATAATACTGCTTCTACTGATCTCAAATATATTAATCTCCTATATCGTAATCAAATGCGTACTAATCTATAAACAAGACGAAAATATACTAAAAAATTTAGTAAATTCTAATATATCAACTACAGATCCTAGCAAAAAATTAAATTAATCATATACTACACTAAATCTAGTATATCCAACTTAATTCTTCGCAATGATTCTTCTCCCCCGGTTAGCGATTTGCAAAAAACCAACATAGTTTATAAATTCAAGTGCCCTTTGGGAGATTGCATCTCCAACGAATTAAATAATATTTATGTTGGTCACATCACAAACTCGCTTTCACGACGCTTGACACTACATTTCAATGAAAACTCTAACATTTTTAGGCATTTAAAACAACATGCCTGCCCGCACACACAATTCCGTAAAATCATTGTCGAAAACACAATTATACTTCGACATGAAAACAATAGACAAAAACTAAAAATACTTGAAGCATTATACTTCAAACAGTTAAAACCCAATCTAAACAAAATCAATTATGGCATCTCTACAAATATTCTTAAATGTCTATAATTGGTAACAGAAGCCATTGGTTTAGACCAACGGCTTTCCATACTTCATTCTCCAATTCACTCTCGTGTGATCATGTGTGACGTCATGAGATGCGGTGGCATTTTCGCTTCTAGCGTCTTATATACGCGTGTTTATCGTTGCTTAGAAATCATCTATGTAATCATTGACAGACTATCATTACTGTCTTGTCCGTATATTGCTTAATATGTTGTAATTGACATCTTTGATAATGGCTTATGTAAGATGAAAGCTTAGATTGTATTAAAAAATATTGATCAATATTGTGAATTTCTTTCTTCGTTCAACGATAATGTTATTAAACTTATCAGATGTTACGAAAAAAATTTACACAAAATATATAGACAACAGTTGTCTATATTTTTTAATGAAACGTGTATTAATGAAAATATGAAAAATATGCTGCATATATATATATATATATATATATATATATATATATATAAAAATGAACATAGAAATTAATTAACGCTTAGAGGCGACAGTCTGTTTCATGCTAGATGCAATCGTCAGGCCACGACGATTGCATCTAGCATGAAAACAGACTGTCGCCTCTAAGTGTTGACTTCTATTTCACTTTTATATTTACACTTTCTATCTCTGATATTGAGTACTTTATCCCATAAATATAGCATATCGTGAGACTATATTTCTTCATATATATATATATATATATATATATATATATATATATATATATATTCTCTTTAACATAAAAAAGAAGTGCATAATAATTTCAGTCTGAGCATTTATATGAAGTCACCTTGGAATGTTTCATTTTACAAACACGATCCGCACATTCTGACCGTGTTCATAGTTGATATTATTAAATGTTAGCTTTTTTCTTATATTAATAATGCTTCCATTATCTTTGGCCTTTGTATACATGTGGATGACGCAATTATAATTGTATACCAGTGAATATGTAGCGGATGGAGTTCTGTTGGTCTCCATGTGTATTTAAATGAGATCAAATTGAGCTGTGGTCAGAGACATGTAACGTAAGTCTTCTTGTTAACCACGTTGTAGTATATCCATAATTATTTACGAATTTAGGGTGATCAAGAACACAGTTAATTAAGGGACATGGGAATTTGTAAATAATATTGGTTTTCTGTAATTTGGATCTTTCAGGTGAAATATTCCTAAACTCTAGATAAATACATAAATCATTCTGCACATTCAGTTAAGAGTAATGATAAAACCATCGTTGATAATGGCTAAATGTATAGGTGTTGAATACAGTGTTGCCCTTCTGCTAGAGCGGTTGACACCCAAGTCTTTAGAATCCAATCTGTCCCGCTATTTATCCATATAGGGTGGGGAGAAGATTTGGGGGGTCATACTACTTACTGTATTAACACATAAGAAGGGAAAAAGGAGATCGCTCCCCTCGTGTGATAAGATTGAAATAATAGACAGAGTGCATCACTGAAAATACGAAAACTTAAGGAAACAGCATAAATGCTATGCAACAAAAATCACCTGAGCCGACCAAGCATAGAAATGAATACAATATGGGAACCAGTAATAAGGAGTGCTAGAGAAAAGCAATGAATAACAAAAATTGCAATATAAGCTCTGATAAAAAAATGAAAAATAATAACAAAAAAAATTGCAATAAGAGCACTGGTAAAAAATGTTAGCTGAGACATTTGGTCTATAAGTCCTAGAAATTCATATCCTCAGATGTCCTCAGATAAAAACGTTGGTTAGATTTAGTGACTAAATCCAAACAGTTTTGCGTTCAAAACCAGGCGACAGCAGTGGAGAACCAAAATACTTGGAGATTTGAATTAAAGGGGGACAACTGAGACATCTAGAAGAGACACGGTACGGGGAACTAGAAGAATCTACCCCGGTGGACGAAATAAAGGGTTCAGTTCGAAATTCCAATCAACTGAAGAAGCGTACTACGGTCGAAACTTTATGACTATGGCAATGAAGATGAGGATATCAGTCCGAATGATGTTAATAATACAAGTAAACATATGTAATGAACTCGACTGGAATTCAAACTCGGTTTTCCAATTCTTCAATCTGCACTGCTATAATATATAATGGAACTGGTGATTAATTATTAAGAATAAATCTGTTGTTAGATAATTCTGTATTAGTGCCTGATCATTTGTAATCATTTTTTTAGATTTCAAGGAATTCCTATTGTAAAATACATATACAGGGTGCGATGGGTAAATTGTCGTCTAAATTGCGCAGAAATTAAAATAACACTGACATCTTATTTTAACAGATACACCCTTGTTAATTGAAACAAAAATTCCGTTATTGTTTACGTATTTATTCGCATTTTTCCAATGAAACAAGACCCAGTGCACATGTCAGTACTTCGTATGTCCATTCTACGAAGTCATTCCGTGCAGATTGACCACAGATTCTCCATTGGATTTAAATCAGGAGACTTTTCGGGCCAGTGTATAGATACTTTGATTTGATCAATGCTAAGGCTTGCCAGTGTCTTCGTGCAGCGTTACAATTTTCGTGAGTTTCCTTGGAGTAATGTCCATCGCAGACAAAAGCCGTAGGTCAACTAATCGACAGACGAGACAAGAGTGTCATGATAATTTGATGCAATCATAGGTGACGCAATAGTTTTCAAGGCCAAACAAATTTCTTCATACACCCCGAGAACAGATTCATATCACTGCACATCACTGCAAATGATTTAATCTGAGGAAAAAATAGAAATCGATCACACCCTGTCAGTCTCGGGGGTCTAAAACTGACCGTATGGCGAAAGAAAGTAAACTGAAGCAATTTTTTGAATTAATTTGCACAAGGGTGTATACTTACCAAAATTACAGAAAAATATCTTCAAATAATAAAGAGTAAATTTATTTAATAAAATCGCCGTTGGCTTCAACCACAGCCTGCAGACGAATTCGAAATCTCCTGCATTTTTTTCTGAAAGGTCTCTTTGTTTAAATTGATGAATGCTGCCATAATCCTTGTCTTCATTTAATCTTTGTTGTTACCAGGAGTTTTGGTGGCCTCTCTCGTTCAACTATGCGCCTCACACATAATAATCAATGGAGTTGCAATCTGGGGCCAGGGCGTGTGGTTGCAGAAAGTGTCTAACAGCCATGACAAAGTTCTCCTGCTTGTATGCCATAGTGCAGTGTCCTGTTGCCAGATATAGGGTCTTCTAGCAGCCACCGTCTTGACTCAAGGTAGCACTACATCCTGAAGGCACTTGATGTAGTCCACCGAGTTAAGACTGAGTCTGGGAAGATGTATGGAAGCATAACATTACCATGAATAGTATCACTCCAAATGCATTTGAAATCACAATTAGACTCGTCCAACTCTTTTTATACTTTCTGCACTGTCCTCAGGTTGACACCATAAGACTCTGAAATGTTCGTATTAGAGTTTCCCGTGAGAATGCTAAGCAGTACAGCATGAGAAATACAGCAATACATTTTTGGAAAAAAATATTACCATCAATACTTTCTGATGAAAAAATATTACCAGCAATATATTTAAAAAAAAACATATTACCAACAATAAAAAACTTGTCGGCATTAAATAAGCCATTGAGGTTGATATGCCGTAAAGCAAAACAAACCAAAGGAAAACTTCTAATCTAATTTCCTTTTCTAGCCTAGTTTTTCTTTGTTTTTTTCTTTTTCTCATTATGCAACTATTTTTCTTTTTTCTTTCTTTTTCTTCTAATTCACACTTAATAACCCTCTTTTAGTTTCTTTCTTGCTTTCTTTACAACTGATATGACACTTTTTACTTTCTTTTTTCCTTTGTCATTAGATTTTTTTCTCCTTGCTCTCCTTTTCCTTCTCTGTAACACGTTTCTACTTTCTTTCTTCCTTTCCTCACTATCGTATAACATTCTTTTCTCATTTTTTCCTCTTACGTTCTAATTCCTTCTTTATAATTCCTTTTCATTTCTTTCTTTCTTTTCATGGTTTCTTGTACCTTTTTCTTTCTCCAGTATATTAATTTTATCTCTCATTGCTTTTTACATTGTTTCTTTTTTGACTCGTCAATTTTTTACAAATTCTTTTCCAAACGTTTTTCGTATTTTTTTCATTCTTTGTTCTTTTCTTTCTTTTTTCTTTCTTCATTTCTTTTCTCTTTTTCTTTCTTTTTTTTTTGCAGAAAATCCTCCAATAATTTTCGAATAATTTTTATGTCTTTGCAATTTTTCGTATTTGAAGTGTTATCGTCATCATTGTAGTTTCTCCCTGATTTAACGGCTGTGCCTACTTTCACTTTCACTTTCCACCAAACGAATCCTACATTTTCTCACCAATCTATTTCTCTCTTTCATAAAATCCATCAAAATGTCTTTGCTACGTTGGCCGTGCCGTACTACTCAAATGTCTGTCTGCATCAATTATAATGTATGACAAGTGACATTTTCCACACTTTTCAACTACGTGTCTTCAAGAATCACATCTATTTTGCGCATGTCAAACTGCTTTCATGATTTAGTCAGTCTGACTTTTTCGTAGGGGGGCGCTATTGTGTATTAAGGTTCGTTTGTCTCTCTATTTACCAGATGACAACTTATTTTAACTATCTACACGATATATATATATATATATACATATATTATTAGCTGTCTATACGATATATATATATATATAAATATATATATATATATATATATATATATATATATATATATATAATATTTTATATTATCATGTTATCTAGCTATTATTTTGCCTAACTCTCTATTTAATTCTGTTTGTCTTTTTCAAAATATAAAAGATTACGTATTATTAAATTATAATTTGCTTGTATTTCTGATTCTTATTTTCTACTATATTTTTGTATACCATCATTTAAATTAATATATATATATATATATATATATATATATATATATATATATATATATAGATAGATAGATAGATAGATAGATAGATATCAAAGTATAGGATTGGTCGATTCGAGATAAATTCCAAAAAGCAAAATGGTATTCTTAAAAGAGTGCTCAATGCAGAATAGACCAAATATAATGATTAGAAAATAAAATAAATATTCTATAAAATCACTACAAAAATAACCATTTTGTTTCAACATTTCTGGTGTCTTATCGAGTGATGGTGTTGAATACCATTGAAAGACATTCAACACCAGCACTTGCTAAGACACCAGAAGTGTTATAACAAAATGGCTATTTTTAGTATTTATCTTATAGCATATATATATATATATATATATATATATATATATATATATATATATATATATATATATATATATATATACCCAAGTATAGGATTGATGTATACGAATAAATTCCAATAACCAAAAATACTATTGATAAAACAGTACTCAATGCGGAATAGAGTAAATATAATTATTTATTCGAAAATTATAACATAAATGATTTGTTGTGATTTTATAACATATTTATAATTTTCGAATAAATATATATATATATATATATATATATATATATATATATATATATATATATATATATATATATATCATATTTTGGGAATCATATTCTTAAAAAGGAAATAATTATAATATTGTGTTCTGTTGTTTGTATCGAAAATATTTTTTTGAAAAATAAAATAACGGCTAAGAACACCGGATTATAATCTTACTGTTCTTTCTGAATATTTTAATATATATCTACTCGACTCTCCCGTCGAATTCGACGTATGAGGGTCAAATAGATCAGTTCCTAGGAAACCGACAGCCCGACAACAGCACATGAGATTTGATTATAGTGCTATAGAACCCAGTCTGTCCTGCTATTTATCCATAGCTGGAGGGAGAAGAAGAGGATTCACACCTTTCCCAAGGGTATTAGCACATAAGTGAATGTAATGGATTCGACTGGAATTCGAACTCGGCTCTCCGATTCCCCAGTCCAAGCCGCTATCCATTAATCTACCGTACCTCCTCTCTCTCTATATATAATCATTTTACAGCAACGAAAGGGTTAATATCACTAGTGAAAGAGAATTAGATGAATTTACTGAAGAGAGAGGAAATTAAAGGAATAAGAATCAGAAAGACATAAGTTGGCGAATGAGGTTGCATTAACATTCTGGAGATTGTAAGTGGCAGGAACACAAGAATTTGGAATGGGTTTCTACAGGCAAGATGTGCGAGAAAAACTATTATAATAGAACGTACAGTTGAGTCCAATTTTAAAATGTCCAGATCTAGTTGTCAATCTAGTAGCACGCTTGTATTGATGCAATTGAACGCCCCCCGGAAAGAAAGCTCATCAGAGCACCGTTAAAATACTTGTAGAAATGACAGAAGGAAACCATGTCACATTGGTCAGAATGTAACTAAAGTCGTTTTAGTAGGTCAGGATCGATTACATTACAGGCAATTCTTTGAATTCTGTCAAGAATCTCTAGAAGAGCAGCGGACCAGATATATCAGCAATATCCAATGTAGAGACAAATGGTAGATTTCTAAATGTGCAAGCTGGATTCTGGCGAGAAAAATTATCTGGCACAATCCACTGAATCAACATTCTAGTATCAAACCTAGAAATTGATTCAATGTAATCACTCCAGTTCATGCCAGTGGCAAACTTGAGCCCAACATGGTGCAATGATTTGATCTTCTTAGACATGTTGATGCCGAACAGAAAAAATGTTTCTCTATGGTGGTAACATGACTGTCAAATAGGATATTAGCCATTACATAGCAGGGCATCCATATTTCTTCAAATCCCTTCTTCATCTCTAAAAAAGTTTGTCCAGCATTCACAGCCAAATGGGATATTTAATATTGCGTAGAAGTTAGTCTATGTCTTGTTTTATATCTTTTCTTCATCTGCGGGCAAATTTTGCACCGAATAAAACGAAAACTGAATATTAATATATGAGGAGGCTTGCTGATACTTGCTACTGAGTATCAAAAACAGAATTTAGGTTGAAAATGAGGACTCCACAATGTGCAATGATAATGAAGAGAAGAAAAGTAATGTGAAAAAATAAAACAAGAAAAAAACTCTTCTTGTCCATTTTTCCTAACCTGTTATTGAATAGTGTCCCTCTCTTATTATCTCTCTCTCTCTCTCTTTGATGTTTTATCCATTCTTCTCCTATTTCTTACCTTGCTATTGTATAGTGTCTCTCTTATTTTCTCGCATTCACTTCCTCTCTCTTTTTGATGTTTTATCCATTCTTCCATTTTTTCCTACCCTCTCATCGAATAGTTCTCTTTATTCTTCTCTTTCTCTCTCTTTTGATGTTTTATCCATTCTTCTCCTTTTTCCTACCCTCTCATCGAATATCTCTCTTATTCTCTCCATTTCTCTCTCTTTTGATGTTTTATCCATTCTTCTCCCTTTTTCCTACGCTCTCATTTAATAGGGCCTCTCTCTTATTCTCTCTCTTTTTCTCTCTTTTTGATGTTTATTCATTCCATTTTAGTGTCTTTTTTGTTTTCTCTCTCTTTTTGATGTTTTATCCATTTTTGTCTTTTTTCTATCTAGTTATCAAATAGTGTCTCTCTCTCTCTTATTCTCTCTCTTTCTCTCTCTCTTTGATGTTTTATCCATTCTTCTCCTTTTTTCCTACCCTCTCATCGAATAGTGTCTCTCTCTTATTCTCTCCATTTCTCTCTCTCTTTGATGTTTTATCCATTCTTCTCCCTTTTCCTACCTCACGAATAGTGCCTCTCTTTATTCTTAATTTCTCTCTTTGATGTTTTATCCATTCTTCTCCCTTTTCCTATTCTTTAATAGGGCTCTTCTCTTCTCTTTTTTTCTCTCTTTTTGATGCTTTATTCATTCTTTTCCTTTTTTGCTACCCTCTCAGTCTCTGTTTTCTCTCTCTTTTTGATGTTTTATCCATTTTTGAAAATAGTGTCTCTCTCTCTGTTCTCTCTTTCTCTCTCTCTCTCCATTCTTTTTTTTCATCTGTAGTGTCTTTTTATTCTCTCTTTTTCTCTCTCTTTGATGTTTTATCCATTCTTCTCCTTTTCCTCTCATCCCTCTTATCGAGTCCCCTTTCTCTCTCTCTTTGATGTTTTATCCATTCTTCTCCCTTTTCCTTTTTTTTCTCTTTCTTTTTGATGCTTTATTCATTCTTTTCCTTTTTTGCTACCCTCTCATCGAATAGTGTCTCTCTGTTAGTCTCTCTGTTTTTCTCTCTCTTTTTGATGTTTTATCCATTTTTGTCTTTTTCCTACCCTGTTAACGAGTAATTTCTCTCTCTTATTCTATCTCCCTTTCCCTTTCTTTTTTATGCTTTATCTATTCTTCTCCTTTTTCCTACACTGTTATCGAATAGAGTCTCTTTTCTTTTTCGATTTTATCCATTCTTCTCCTTTTGCTTACCCTGTCATCGAATTTTTGATTTTTTTTTATCCATTCATCTCCTTTTTTCCTACTCTGTTATCGAATAATCTCTCTCTCTTATTCTCTCTCTCCTTTTTTATGTTTTATCCGTTCTTCTCTTTTTTCCTACACTCTTTTTGAATAGCCTGTCTCTCTTATTCTCTCTCTCTCTCTTTCTTTCTTTCTCGTTTTGATCTTTTATCCATTCTTCATTTTTCCTACCCTGTTATTAAATAGTATCTCTCTCTTATTCTCTTTCTCTTATTCTCTTTCTCTCTCTCTCGCTTTTTCTGTTGTTTCTTCATACTTCTTTTTTCCTACCCTGTTATCAAATAGTTTCGTTTCTCTCTCTCACTCTCTCTCACTTGAAGCCAAGTGCTTTTTGAAGGCCAAAACGGAGCATTCCCAATTGATCCACATCAATCATTTACAACCATCGCAACCACACCTAGGCCACAAATATGAAAATCATTTTCCATGATGACTGGCTACAAAGAAAATAATTGTCCTTTCAATACGTCCCCAACGATCATCTTTCCATTGAAGCCAGCTTCTTCCAACCCCGTCCAATTTCCTCGGCCTTGATTACAATTGCAAGTTCCGGAGAATGGCGAACTGAGCAAAAAGGAGAGTAAGGTGTCTACTTGGCTGCTTGATGAGTCTGTACGAAGAAACACTGACGCGATTTCGCGAGCAAATACACTTATAACATTATTTCACGAAACAATCTGCAAAAGTTGATAGGTTTCATAACGGGCGACAGTAGAGTAATTTTTCAGATGACCTGTTCCGGCTCGTTACCATCAGCTTGGGCCGCCGATGGAGAGTTATATTAGAGCATAGATAGATAGATAGATAGATAGATAGATAGATAGATAGATAGATAGATTATTAATAGACTGAGATAGATACGAAAAAACTGACACATATAGTGATGAAAAGGCTTAGATAGATAGATAGATAGATAGATAGATAGATAGATAGATAGATAGATAGATAGATAGATTATTGACAGACTGAAATAGATACGAACAAACTGAAAGATAAACTGAAACATAGTGATGAAAAGGCTTAGATAGATAGATAGATAGATAGATAGATATAGATAGATAGATAGATATGAACAGACTGAGATAGATATAAACAGAATGAGAGAGATATGAACTGACATAGATAGATAGATAGATACATACATACATACATACATACATACATACATAGATTATTAACAGACTGAGATAGATACGAACAGACTGAAATATATAGATCTGAAAAGTCTTAGATAGATAGATAGATAGATAGATAGATAGATATAAATAGGTTGATAAATTTATATTCGTGCCTAGATAAATAGATTAGATAGAAAAATACATAGATAGATTATTAACAGACTGAGATTGATACGAACAGACTGAAATATATATATATATATATATATATATATATATATATATATATATGAAAAGGCTTAGATAGATAGATAGGTAGATAGATAGATAGGTAGGTATGAATAGACTGATATAGATATGAAGAGAATGAGATATAAACAAACTGATAGATAGATAGATATATAGAGAGATAGATCTGAATAGGCTGACATAGATATGAACAGAATGAGATAGATATGAACAAACTTACATAGGTACAATGATAGATAGGTGTAAGAAAACTACGCTTAAATGATTGAAGAGGTAAAGGTGTTTGTTCGGAAATGTATCCAAGCGGAACGAGGTCTAAATGTCTTTACAACCAAAATGCAATTCGACAAGATGAAATGAGAAGCGGAAAGTTTTGCCCAATATGTCTAATACTTTTTGCATTATAAGTTCGATTCAATAAGACTTTGATATTAAAAGTTCCAACATCTCAATGTGGGATCATCCACGTGGACACACCGGATAACTTCAGCCGAAAACAAAGGTATATATATATATATATATATATATATATATATATATATATATATATATATATATATTAAGGTATGTGTTATTAAAGACTACGGAACTCTTCCGTTTGATGATCTTTTTCTTAGTTTTTTTTTCTTGCTTCCTCGCAAGTTTCTTAATGTTTGGATCCAGGTTGTTAAAATAGGATCCGAGTCGATAGTGTTCTGCCGAGCACTTTCGGTTGTCCTCGACCGTCATCATGGCGTGTTTATTTTTATTTGGATATATGATATTAGTTGTTTTAGTTTTATAGATAATATTAAATGATATTATTGAGTTAGTTCATTATTGGCAAGGAGGAGATTGACGTTTTTTTTTTGTTTTTTGGGGGTTTTTTTTTATTGGAGGTTTAGTTATTGCATATGTTTAATATGTTTCTACCCGTAATAAATGCTATTTTATTTATGTTGGGTTTTGTTTTTATGTTGTTTTATTTTATGTTGGGTTTTGGTTTTAATTTTTTTTTTTTTTATTATGTTGCGTTTTGGGGTTTTTTTATGTTGGGTTTTTAGTTTCATGTTATTTTTTATTTTGTTATGTTGCGTTTTTGGTTTTTTGTTGCTTTTTATTTCGTTATGTTGCGTTTTTGGTTTTTTGTTGCTTTTTATTTTATTATGTTGCGTTTTTGTTTTTCGTTTTATTTCGTTATGTTGCGTTTTTTGGTTTTTGTTGTTATGTTTGCTTTTATTTTATTATGTTGCGTTTTGGGTTTTTGTTGCTTTTAATTTTGTTATGTTGTGTTTCTGGTTTTTTGATGCTTTTTATTTCGTTATGTTGCGTTTTTGGTTTTTTGTTGCTTTTTATTTTATTATGTTGCGTTTTTGGTTTTTGTTGCTTTTAATTTTGTTATCTTGCGTTTCTGGTTTTTGTTGCTTTTTATTTTGTTATGTTGCGTTTTTGGTTTTTTGTTGCTTTTTATTTTGTTATGTTGCGTTTTTGGTTTTTTGTTGGTTTTTTTGTTACGTTGGGTTTTTGGTTTTATGTTTTTTTGATATGTTGTGTTTTTGGTTAAGAAACTTGCGAGGAAGCAAGAAAAACTGAGAAAAAGATCAAATTTCAAGATTGGTTGTTCCTAAATTTTCGTTTGAGGATGAAACAGGGCTTGATACTTTAACGCAATTTAATTTTAATAATTATATTGAGGTTTTCGGCTCTCTTTTTTGAAACATGAGAACTCTTATGTAGCAGAGGAATCATATTTTTTTAAAATGATATATATATATATATATATATATATATATATATATATATATATATATCGTTGCCAGATATATATATATATATATATATATATATATATATATATATATATATATATATATATTTTCGTTAAAATGACTGGTAAGGTGCTGTGGTTAAGATTTTATATAATTTTTCATGTGTTCTTAAAATGTTTCAACTTTTCAGGACATAAATTATATAAAAAAAAATCGAATGTATTATATATTGGAAAATAAAATATTCCTATAATTCAAGATGCATAAAATTATCTATATATCCAGTTAAAAATTAAATAAAACTTATCCTTGATAATAGCTAAACGTATAGCCGAAACCGCTTGGATATATGAAACATTCGGACATGTTTTACATAATTTATGTCCTCAATAATGAAAAAATTATAAGAACACGCGAAAAATTGTTTAATGGATGTCAGTTGTCATATATATCCTATTAATTCCCCTCTCTAAGTTCTCCACTGCCTTAACCGGGTATTGAACTCACACTCTTTGGGTCCTTAAGGACACATGGTACAGTGGATAAAGGTGTTAGATCCAGTGACAGGACACAAAGAGTGTGAGTTCAATACACGGTTAAGGCAGTGGAGAACTTGGAGAGGGGAATTAACTGGAGGTAACTGATAACCGACATCCATTAAACATGGCACGTGGAACTAGAACAGTCTACCCCAGTGAGCGAGATAAAGGATTCAGTTCGATATTCCAACTATCTGAAGAAGGCCGGAGCGTTCAACGGCCGAAACTTTGAAATAAATGTGGCAACAAAGATATATATATAAGGCAGGATCTCTGTGTGTGTGTGTGTGTGTGTGTGTGTGTGTGTGTGTGTGTGTGTGTGTGTGTGTGTGTGTGTAACGAATACACGGCCGCAATTTTCGACGGATTTGCACCAAGATCTACATACACATGCTCCAAGTTAGCGGGAAGGCCAAGACCGACTTTGCATTTCCCAACACCCATCGATAGTGGAAATAATCGATTTTTTCATGCTTCTACGGCAGTTTCCATGTAGTTTGCAGCCATTTTGTACTTGGCTGAGTGAGAGCCAATAGCTGGCTGCCACGAATAGGCAAGAAGATTCTATTGGCCAGCGTGAGAGCCAATAGCTGACTGACACGAATGTTATTTAGCATGCAAAAAAAATCGATAGCTGCATTCGTCACACGTGGGAAAAAACTTCATGGCACTTTACTCCAATTGGCTCATTCGCTAGTTTAATCTCAACGTTGATCCTGATTCCGAAGAATTGGGTTGGGTTCGAAAAAGTATTTGTTGTTAACATTCTTTTTTCATTCGATTTTTCCAGTTACGAGTCCTTTTTTAAAGCTGATCGTTTTGTGTTCATTTTGTTTAGTTCTTTTTTCGTAACAGATTTAATGTTTAGTATAGAGCTTAGA